TGCAGGTCATGTTACATTTGAACAAAGATAGATAGATAGATAGATAGATAGATAGAATGAAAATCGACAACATGTACAACAGGCCAAGACACACTCACAGTGAAGCCCATTTCAAATGAATGTACTCATTTAACCCCATATAAGATCACGCCAGAAGGTTTTTCTCGCCTGAGTCCATCATCCAAATCTACCATTCATCCATGCATGGAATACTGCTGCCATATATGGTCTGGTGCTCCCGCTATTCATCTCGAAGTCTTGGACAAAATTCAGAGACGGATTTGCAACGCGATTGTCCCTGATCTGGCATCCCGTCTACAGCCGCTATCTCAAAGACGTGCCGTGGCTTCTCTCTGTCTTTTCTACAAGTATTTTCATGGCATCTGCTCTGACGAGCTATTTTCCTAACTGCATGAATTTAAACGTGTTACTAGGTTGGCATCTTGCTCCCACCATTTTATTGTCGAAACAGTTAAATGTAACGGCCTCTTCTCTCGCACTTCCCGACAGTGGAGCTCCCTTCCTCTTACTTGCTTCCCTGATAGCTATAATCTTCAAATATTCAAATGTAATATCAATCGACATCTTCTGATGCCTTGATCTTGATCCCTGTCCTTCTGTTTATCCTTTCCTCTTTATTCTTACTTTCACTCTCTGTAACCCTTTGTGTGCTAGAGGCACTCACGTCTTGGTTGGGGTGAAATGCTTAAAAAAGTATAAATAGGAAAGCAAAATGAGAAAATTATTCGAAAATGCTGTCCTACCTTAAACAAATAGGATTATACCAAAACGTATAATGGATCAACTATAATGTGTATATATATATATATATATATATATATGAATCCTCTTCTTCTCCCTCCAGCTATGGGTAAATAGCAGGACAGCCTGGGTTCTATAGCCTTGGAAGGCAACTGATCTAGGAGGAGGGCAAATCTGAATTAAAAACCTGCAGAGGGTCGTTTGGGGACCTTGTGGCACCTAGTGCACCAGAGATGTGTATTCGGCCCTTCAAAAAGTGTGGATGGTTCTGCACAAAACCTTTATCACTATAATCAAATCACATGTGCTGTTGTCGGGCTGTCAGTTTCCTGGGAACTGATCTGCTGGGGGATATTTACTTCGATAACTATATTTATGAATAAAACCTTTAAGTCCGTGATTCCCCGCCTGATGAGACGTCTAAAAAAGCTTTTCCCCTTTTTTGACGTTGAAACGAATATATATATATATATATATATATATATATATATATATATATATATACAAAGAAAGAAAAGTAAGATATATAATCCGGTGTTCTTATTGATATTTCTCTTTACAAAATAGCGCTCAATGTAAAATTTACAGAGCATTTATATTATAAATTAACTGATTTAATATATATATATATATATATATATATATATATATATATATATATATATATATATATATCCGGTCCTTATCTGTCATCCGGTCCTCTGACAATATATATACATTTTAATATATATATATATATATATATATATATATATATATATATATATATATATATATATATATATATATATATATATATATATATTAAATATATATATATATATATATATATATATATATATATATATATATATATATATATATATATATATATATGCACTTGGGATTAAAATGTATACATATATTGTCAGAGGACCGGATGATGATAAGCGTCAATTTAAAGTAATTTCAATGAAGAAATAAATTGAATAACATATGTATTTCTTCTTTTCTCCTCAGTAATTTTATAATTTCAAACTTAAATAGTGATTAAATTTGGATTTTAAAATTGATAATTTTTACTTTTAATTTTAATATCAAATTTTATCATATAATTTAATAATTATTGGTTAGAATAAATTCTTTTTTAATATTACCCGTATTTTAATGATTTGAATAGCTATTATAACATGACTTCGTTGTCAAGCTTTTTGAATTTTCCTCTACTTGTATTTTGATTGGTCAATCTAGCTTTTGTAACAACGTTTTCCCCTTGCTAAGGATTGTTAATTAATTTGAAACTTTTAAAACCGTTTATTTTACATTCTACATCATCACTTGATAAGACGCCGGAGGTGTTGAAACAAAATGGCTATTTTTGTAGTGATTTTATAACATATTTATGTTATAATTTTTTTTTTTAAATAAATAATTATATATATATGTATACAAACATAGGTTTACCCCGGCATTATAAAATTATTTACTAAATATCTGTCGTTGAAGCCATAAAATTGCGTTCAAAATATTTAAATTTCGGCATTAAATAACCCATAAAGGTGTTGATATGCCGCTAAGCGATAACCCCCACCCCCCAAAAAAATGCCAGAACTAAAAATACCCGGTTGTTTTTTGTCAACATTAGAAATAGATGAAAACTTGGCAAGGTTTTTTTTTTCCTTCTTAGCCATAAGGGAGATGCCTTGTCTTGGTTAAGAGTGAATATCACGTGCTAGCACAGTAGAGACATTTCTTCTATTTAAATGATTCGATTTGTATTGATCAGGAGTCAATTAATCAGTCGACAGGTTTCCAATTTTGATGCAGGAAACACTGCATTGCGGGCAATAAGTATTTACATTACGTCAATTTACGCTAAATATATAAACACACCTATACACGCTTGCTTACAAACTAGTGAGAGATCACTTATATAAGAAGAGTCAAGTGCGGAAGAAAATATATATATATATATATATATATATATATATATATATATAATTATTTATTTTTAAAATATGATTCAAATCGCTACATAAGAAGTCTCATGTTTCAAAACTAGAGCCGAAAACTACAATATAATCCTTTAAATTAAATTGAGTTGAAAGTAAAATGGGCTCCGTTCCATCCTCAAGCGAACCCATTTTACTTTCAACTCAATTTAATTTAAAGGATTATATGGTAGTTTTCGGCTCTAGTTTTGAAACATGAGACCTTTTATGTAGCGATTTGGAATCATATTTTTAAATAAATAATTATATTTATGCTCTACTTTTGTATCGAGCACTATTTTTAAAAAATAATAACTAAAATACTAAGGGACTTTGGATTATTTACCTAACCAGTTCCTTCCTATTTTCTATATATTTTCACATATTATATATATATATATATATATATATATATATATATATATATATATATATATATATACCAGGTGCAAGAGTGAAAGTGTCCATTTGCTAGATTAAGCTTTGAACCGTTGCATTTTAGAAATGATTAAAGATATCTTACTGGAATTATATTAGACTCTACTTTGAGCAATAAGAATGTATAATTGCTCTCCAAGCTTAATACGAGAATCGTGATGAAAGCGATCATAAACGAAAATGACATGTTCATCATTAATTAATCATAGCTAAGGATCGGAAACGCATCAAGGATTGATATTAACTTCAAATATAATATATATATATATATATATATATATATATATATTATCCCAGGATCATTTTCCGACTTATTCACGATGGTCTTCGTCCTCTGTAACCTTCTAACTTTCTGTCCTGGAGTCAAAAGTTGCATCAGGTTTCATGTAAAATTTCATTTTAAAGTCTTTTTTCACTGCTCTTTGGACTGTCATAACTGAAACTTCTCTCTCACGTCTTATGAATTGAGTTGGATCTTTTCTAATTGATCTCTTTACCTCTAAATTGAAATGATGATCTCTCTTCTTGTTGTGACCTCCTGATTCAGTTTTCCTCTCTATTGTTCCCTCTTTTTTAAACCTTTTTCAAACAGTTCTCTTGATGGGTTTTGAATGTGCTTTGAAATGGAATCCAGAGTATGAATGTTGGTCCTATTATTGAAGGCCTGAATGATCTTATCCCTCTCGCCATTGCTCAGTTGGGAAAACATAGTGGGGCTGACAGAAAACGATTTTAATCTGCACTGTTTCAGGTTGAATAATACAAAGATATTTTTCAATGATTCAGTTCAATACAATAAATGCTATTAAGATGGCTAAACGTCTTAACTGAAGTCCAGTACAAAATACTTAATTAGTTTAGTGGGTTTTTTTTTTAGATATTAAATATTTTTGGGGATGATTACATGATTTGGACAATTTTGCTGTTACGCCAAGTTTATAAGATATGGCCGTTCGCTTTCTAAACATGAAACCCGTGTTCAAACCTCAGCTCGGTCGGTCGATTTGCCAGGTGTGTGACTGCTTGATGTTATCTGACTTGTGAGGCATTCCCAGTGTGCAGCATCCCAGTGTGTGTGTGTTGTAGTATACCTACGGACGATAATGGCTATGTCCTCATTCACATAAATACAGTAGTAGATACTGTATGTTGGTCTCCAGTTGGAGATTCGTCTCCAGCTGTGCTGGTCAAACTCTCAGCCTCCGGGCAGAGAGGATCCCCAGACGGAGCTATCACGAAGGAGAGAGTCTAATCTCGGGAAACAGCTACCCGATCCCGTTTTATACGGGGTCTGCGCGGAATTTTTGACCGAACCTAAGGGCTCGGATATCCCACATTAAATTCGGCCTTGTGCCACATCTGACCGCGTGGGGTGGTTGGTAAACATCCTGCAGTTGGAGATTCATTGTGAAATTCACTTGACTCACTTCTAGTAGTTGACTACTTCTTCTACGCGCCGCTGTCGAATCTTATATGTGTTGTTCTTGTCCTAAGTATTATCGTTCATTACCAACCTTCGGGTGATTATTATATTCAGTAACGTTCCTTAGTTTACTAGTTTACAACAATATGAGATTATGAGATAACGATAAATATTTTATATATCAGAAAAATATTGAGGAAAAATAGAATGAAGGCTTAAAAGACGCCACGTGTCACAGGAAAACTTTTGCACTTTGCCAAACATTTTCACCAGCAAACACAAAACACACACACACACACACACACACATACACACACACACACACACACACATATATATATATATATATATATATATATATATATATATATATATACAGATAGATAGATTTAAACAAACACTGGTAGTTAGATGAATAGATAGATAGATATGAACAGACTGTGATAGATAGATAGATAGATAGATAGATAGATAGATAGATAGAAAAGAGAGAAAGAGAGAGAGAGAGATTTATGAATTATGTAGAGAGAGGGAACAACAAGGTGCTGAGTAGATCTGTCGATCAAAAGAGGTCAGTCTAATTAGAAAATAATTGAGGTAGTCAATATTTTTATGTAAACTAATAAAATATATATATATATATATATATATATATATATATATATATATATATATATATATATATATATATAGAGAGAGAGAGAGAGAGAGAGAGAAAGAAAGAGATTGTTAAAAAAGCTGTGTTAGACAGAGATATTTGTTAGGTTGGTTAATTTCACAATCGGCCGACAATAATTGCGTTAATTAATTTTATGTTATTAACGCAGTGATGACTGTTTTCACTATTCATGCTGAACCCAACTCACAAGTACCCTGAGATATTAAGAGATACATAAATATATACTGAATAGTCTTAGATATATAGATAGATAGATAAATAGATAGATAGATAGATGTGAACAGACTGCGATACATAGATAGATAGATAGATAGATAGATAGATAGATAGATAGATAGATAGATAGAGACTGAGATTGAGGGATAGAAAGATGTGAAACCACCGAGATAGATAGTTGTAAAGAAGGCACCAAGATAGATATATATATGGATAGATAGATAGAGGGGAAGAAACTGAGATAGATAGATGTGTAGAGACTGATATATATATATATATATATATATATATATATATATATATATATAGATAGATAGATAGATAGATAGATGGATAGATAGATAGATAGATTGATAGATAGATAGTTGTGAAGAGAGTGTGATATATAGATAGATAGATAGTTGTGAAGAGAGTGTGATATATATATATATATATAGATAGATAGATAGATAGATAGATAGATAGATAGATAGATATGAAGTGACTGAGAGACATAGATAGTTCTGAAGAGACTGAGATAGATAGATACATAGATAGATGTGAAGAAACTGAGGTAGATATATATAGAGATAGATAGATAGATAGATAGATAGATAGATAGATAGATAGATAGAAATGAAGTGAAAAAATAGATAGATAGATGTGAAGAGACTGAGACAGTTACATAGATAGATAGATAGATAGATAGATAGATAGATAGATAGATAGATACACAAATGTATATATGGTGATCTCCAGAAACCAAGATGAAACCAGATAATAGAAAGGAAATCATTAAAATGGAAAAAAGGAAGAAAGAAAAAAAATCCTGAAAGTGTCCTTTCTTCCTTCCGTCTTTCTATCTGCACAATAACGGCTCCCACACATCGCCATTCTCTTCCGAACCCTGCCTACTGTCATTGCGCCTACAAGAAGACAAAAGTCTCAAAGTCGCGCCCGAAAAGACAAAACCCTTTGAGACGTTCGTCAACTCAACAAAAGATGGCCGACTGTTTGTTATCGCAATTTCCATGTTGTTTTTGCTAATGTGCCCACCAGGGGGCTTTGGCTGATTGACAGCGCCATTTTTTTTTACGGCTGGGACACGTTAGTGGTGGGTGATGCCGGTCGTGAAAATGTCGACGTGGGTGCGGAGATGGGGAAAACGCGCGCACAGCCAAAATGCATGTTGCTTTATAGACCGAACTACAATAACAGGATGTCAGAATGTTTAGAAAATATATATATATATATATATATATATATATATATATATAGACTGCAAGACTTTGTGAAACCTAGTCGCTGTGAAATTAACCTTAAACAAGTAAGGACAGTCTTGCATACATACATACATACATACATACATATTTCTACGTATATATACAGGGTGTTTCACAATTTTTGGAACAGAATGATAGGGCAAAAGTCACTGACCAAAAATGATTGAATAATGGAAATTACATTTATTGAAAGTGATATACCGTACCTATGAATACTTATTGGGGGGTAATATGCTATCTAAGTAGCCTGTTTTGCAGTTTTACTTTTTATTTATTATCATCATGAGTGGTAATAATAAAAATAATTTTTGTCTATTTATAGCAGTTTTATATATATATATATATATATATATATATATATAACAGCTGAAACCTAACCTAAACAAAATAAACTATGAAATCGCCACAAATATTCTTAAATGCCTATAATTGGTAACAGAAGCCACTGGTTTATACCACCGGCTTCCCAATACTTAATACTTCTCGTTTTCACTCTCGCGTGGTCATGTGTGACGTCACGAGCTGCGGTGCGATTTTCGCTTCCAGCGTCTTATATGCACGTATTTATCGTTGCTTGGAAATCATCCATTTAAACACAAACAGACTATCATTACATTCTTGTCTGTGTATTGCTTAATATATTGTACCGTAATTGTCATCTTTGATAATGGATTATGTAAGCCGAAAGCTTAGATTGGATTAAAAGAATATGTATCAATATTGTGATTTTCTTTCTTCGTTTAATGATAATGCTATTAAGCTTATCAGACGTTATGAAAAGAATTTACATGAAATAGACAACACTTGTCTATATTATTTAATGAGACGATGAATACATATATATATATATATATATATATATATATATATATATATATATATCGGGTGTATCAGAAATACTTTTACACACTTTCGGGGCGGGTTCTTTACACCAAAACAAGGATGCTAGATGGCACTATGTCGTCATGTAGACTAGGTTACATTTGACGTTCGTGTACATTTGTGGTTAGTCTGCCTTTAACGTTTAATTTGTACAATAGTGAGTTAAATAAGAAGTGTTCCGTTTAACAATGGTAGGATACGTTTGCAAAAGTATTTTTCGATTGTATCATGGATTGTTCATTTAACAGCTTCTACTGTAAACTTTAAACTTAATAACTCAAAAACTGAAGATTTGCGATGATATGTTTATATGGACTTTTGTCCTCGTTTTGATGTAAATACATTCAGGTATTTTGTCTGGGTAGCTATTATTTTGTCATATACCGTACCTATGAACACTAATGGATATGTCCTAATCCTCATAAATACGTTGAACACTATTGAAAGTGGGGGTAATATGCTGTCTAAGTAGTTCACGCTAGAAAGTGGTTTACCTACTTCACGCCACTGGCGAGTATTGTATTTTGTTGATGCTATAAAGATTACCATTTCATTTCCAACCTCCGTTTTTGTTATTTCTCATTCAGTAACCCTTGCTAGGTTACAACAAAAAGGCAAAACGATAACATTTTAGGATCTGCAACCATTTAGTCTCAAACATGAACCAAATATGAAGCAGACCCCTAGAGTACATGCTTCAGATGTTCCCCGTACATTTGAAGGCACTGTTAAATGCAAAGTTGTTGATAACATGTGCACATTCCTCCTGGGTGATCTCTTAAATCTTCTTAGTGATGGCTGCCTTCAATGCAGCAATGGTGTGAGGGCTTCCCTGTAGATGTTGTCCTTAAGGTACCGCAAGACGAAGAAATCTGCAGAGTTCAGGTCAGGCGTGTGAGGTGCCTATTCCGTTACAGAATTGCAGCTCAAGAGATGCACCCGAAAATTTTCACGGGCCATGCCATGGTAACATTAGCAATGTGAGGGAGGTGTGTGTGTGTGTGTGTGTGTGTGTGTGCGTATGTGTGTGGTCTGATTAAAACGTATCAGGACTGTTGTTACGATAATGCGGCGGAACTACGCAGAAGATTTACCTTGAACTCTTCCGCGCATGCGCCCTAAGTTACAGCGTTCCCTCGCACTTCCGTTGTTTATAGCTGCGCTTGAAAGGAAAGTGTGTAGAGTGTGGTAGTCTCACTAAATCACAGATGTTCCGTCAGTGGCCAAACTTTGTGTAGTAGTTTTTGGCACATTGCTCAAATTCGACAACAACCATATTCCTCAGATCTTGCTCCTTGTGATTTTTTTCCTCTTTCCAAAATCTATTCTCACTTGAAAGGAACCAAATTTCAAGACGTCGAGGGAATCCAAGACACTGCGATGAGGCAGCTGCTCATTATCTCGAAAAAAAGTTCTAGGAATGCGTCCAGTGGAAACGACGTTGGATAAAATTTGTGGATTCAGAAAAGGACTACTTCGAAGGTGATTAAATACCTGATTGATATGTCTTGTAGTTTATTTTCTTTTTATAGAAACAGTCTAGATTTAATCATTTCATCCCAAACAAGTCGAGAAGGCTACTAAGACACAATGCGCTACTGGGGGTGAAACAGAATTAAAATAAAATTTAGAAGGAAGCTAGACCCCTAGAAAGAGTGTGAACTGTGTGATAGGCAAACGTATCTACTCCTATTTATCAGAGGTCGTATATTTTCATTGTTGTGATATGCGTTGATAATGGGTATGCAATATTGCCGTCTAGTCTTCACTCCATTCTATATTTATTGAGGCTGGTACATACATCCAGAACAATTACACAAGCTGAAGTAATGGAAATATTAATTTACATCAAATGTATATTTAGGTGTGCCCGCCCCACCAGCTCGTTCGTATTATTAGACAGCCTTTGTTGTTCTAGTGATATGAAAAAGAAGAAAAAAAAGAATGCTTTTAGAGAGTTATGCCGAGGAAAAAGAAATGAAGGCAAAGATAAAGGGGGAGGGGATGTCTGAGCGGGGGGGCGTTGGGAAGGGAAGAAAAGAAAGGAAACAAAAACTTTAAGAAAAAGAAAATGGAGAATGAAAGAAAAGGGAAAGGGAAAGAAAGAGGAAGAAATGGAAAGGAAGAAAGAGAGAAAGTCGGGAAATGAGGAAGAGGCAAAAAAAAAAATGAAAGAAAGAAAAATGGAGCGAAAGAAAGAAAGAAAAGAAAGAAGAAACAGAGAGAAATAAAGAAAGAAAGATAGAAAAGGGAGAGAAAGAAAACTAAGAAACAGAAAGAAAGAGATGAAGAAAGAAAGAAAGAGATGAAGAAAGAAAGAAAGAAAGAAAATGAGGAAACGGGAAGAGGTAAAGAAAGATAGGAAGAAGAAGCAAAAGAAAGAAAGAAAGAAAGAAAGAGAGAGAGAAAATGAAGAAAGAAAAAGAAAAACGAAAGAAAAAAGAAAGAAAAAAGGGAGGGAAAGAAAGAGAAAGAAGAAACGTGAAGAGAGAAAAAAGAAAGAAAGAAGAAGCGCAAGAAAGAAAGAAAGAATGAATGAATGAATGAGAAACAACGAAAGAAAAAGAAAAGAGAAAAGGGAAAGAAAGAAAAAGAAGAAACGGGAAGAGGTAAAGAAAGAAAGAAAGAAAATGAAGAAAGAGAAAGAAAAAACGAAAGAAAAATAAAAAAGGGAGAGAAAGAAAGAAAAAGAAGAAACTTGAAGAGAGAAAAAAGAAAAAGCAAAAGAAAGAAAGAATGAATGAATGAATGAGAAACAACGAAAGAAAAATGAAGGGAAAAAGGGAAAGAAAGGAAAAGAAGAAACGGGAAGAGAGAAAGAAAGAGAGGAAGGAGAAGCGAAAGAAAAAAAGAAAGAAAGAAAGAAAGAAAGAAAGAAAAAAGATTATTGTGATTGTTTTTGGCGATGTTTTACGTGATTTTTTGCGACGATTTTTTTTGTCCGATAACAATTTTTATATATTGCGAAATCCTGCGAAATTCACCCATGAAATAAAAATAATTGTTTGTACGGAAAGTAAGGACCTACCCCCATCAAATTGTCTTTAAATTAAGTGGCAGAAGAAGAATTATCCTTGAACGTTTAAAGGGTTAGGTTAAATATTAATGCAATACTTTAATGCAGCAATCAATTTTGAGTTCTTCTGTCGTTTATTGTTGCCTATTGCATACGGCAGCATTATGCCTCGCAACAAGAAATCTCTGCCAACAGAGGGGGGGGGCAGATTGCAATCAAAAGAGCCAAGGCTGCAGCAAGGAAAAGAAAGTTCTATGCAAATGAAAACTCAGATCAAATGGCAGCCAGGAGAGTTTCCAATACTGACAATGTGCAAAGACTTATAGAGACTCGTAAACTCCTGAACAAGCCGAAGGCCCAATCAAGAACACTCCGAATTAGCTAGCTTAAATGTTAATTAAGTTAGTATATATATATATATATATATATATATATACCTTCCTATGGTTCCGCCATCGGGGGTGGGGGATTCAATAACGGAACAAAATAAATAAATAAATACGTAAAAACCGCACGTTGTCGAGTTACTGGTTTATTCGATTTTTTGTTGTTGTTTTTTAGTTAGTCACGTGGTCATGGTTGTTTTTATGTTGCAGGCTATATATATTCTGTTCCAACTTTACCTCTTTAGCCAGCTTACCCTGACGATCCGTTTAGGTGAAACCTAGGTAGTTTTACCTGGCTCTTTAGGTTCATGTTTAGGTTTGCTCTACATCGTGTATTGAGCACTTTACGTAGTTACTTTTGCTTTACTCGTTTTGGAGGGGTTTTTTTCTTTGGACCCTGAGCTTGAATTCTGGACGACTGTGTTCACCTCAATTACATGTTCTTAGTTCTTTCTTTTTTTATACCTTATTTTCCCTTCGCCATTGGTTTATTCATTTACCAGCTGAAATACCTAAGGTTTTTCCAAACGAGTATAACTGTGTGTGTGTGTGTGTGTGTGTGTGTGTGTGTGTGTGTGTGTGTGTGTGTGTGTGTGTGTCTCGGGTGTAACAACAGAATTGTTCAAATCGTGTAACAGCAAAATTGTTCAATTGTTAGATTAAGATTTGAACCGTTGTATCTTAGAAATGATTAAAGATATCTTACTGGAATTCTCCGAGTTTCTTTTATAACACTGTTGGACTCTACTTTGAACAATATAACATTATTTTTATAAAACTATTTTAATAACACTATTTATAACACTATACGTTATAGTTTTATGCTATAAGTTTAACAACACTATACAATTTTTTTCCTTTCTTGTCTATACATTTTTCGGGCGGATATATATATATATATATATATATATATATATATATATATATATCCTTTTTTATACCTTCTTTTTCCTTGGGCATTGGTTTGTGCAATTACATGCCAAAATACCTAAGGTTTTTCCAAACGAGTATAACTATTTATATTTATATTATTACTATATATATATATATATATATATATATATATATATATATATATATATATATGAATATGAATATATGAAGTGATTGAACTCGTATCTAATGATGTCAGATGATTGTTGTTATGGCAAACAATTGACACCGAAAATCAATTTATTATAATCAAGTCGTTTTTTTTTTCATGGGAAGTTGTTTATAAAAATGCTTGTAAAACAAGAGATATAAATTGTTTCACTTTTTTTTTATTGTTTGCGTAAGGTTATCAGCAGGTTGTTGTTATCTAAAACACCCAGTCTGGACAAGTGAGGATAATAAACAGCCTTCCTAGCCCAGCACTAAGTCTCTCCTGCCTTTCACGCAACCACCTCCCTCTCAGTAGTATATATATATATATATATATATATATATATATATAATATATAAACGTTACGTTTTTTTGTGGATACCCTATATTTAAGTAGACGCACCGTTTATTTATTTATTTTAACAGTATTTTATTTTGGTCCGAATATTCGAGAAAAACGTACTAAATCATGCTAAGCGTATATATATATATATATATATATATATATATATATATATATATATGTGTGTGTGTGTTTGTGTGTGTGTGTGAAAAGTGTATATAAATATAAATAAATATAAGTATGCATAATTATTTATATATTATATATATGGTACTTATTAGAAAGCGCTCAATATCAGAGATAGAGCTATATATATATATATATATATATATATATATATATATATATATATATATATATGTGTGTGTGTGTGTGTGTGTGTGTGTTAAGATGTTTTATGTTTATATATTCTTTTCATAGACACAAATGTAGTAAATGCTCTGTTTTAGAATAAACAGTATTAATAACCGATTGATCCACAAATGATCGTTCGATTAGCAAGGTCGATTTTACTGCTTTTGTGGCTCAATCCTTCAGGTCGGTAAATGTTGTTTAATACTGTTTATTATAAACAGAGCATTTACTTAAATATTTGTATCTATAAAAGAATGTATAAACATAAAAAATGTCTTAATATATATATATATATCGAATAACAGCGACCACATCACTTGACTTTTTAAGAACAACTTAAATGAATGACTCATATAACAAGAAAAAATACAAATAAATATATTAAATATTTGTATCTATAAAAACAATGTATAAGCATAAAATGTCTTAATATATATATATATATATATATATATATATATATATATATATATATATATATATATAAAGAAATATAGTCTTAAGGTGTGCTATATTTATGGGATAAAGTGCTCAATATCAGAGATAGAGCGTGTAAATATAATATAAAAGTGAACATGTCAACATATAATCGTCAGTCTGTGGCCTGACAATTGCATATAGTCATGAAACAGACTGTCGCCTCTAAGTGTTGACTTCTATATATATATATATATATATATATGTGTGTGTGTGTGTATGTATACGTCGGTAGGTAAGTAGATGGATATCGCATAGATAGGTATTTGCTCAACTGAATTATTTTTCTTCATATATTTTGAAAATTTCCTTACTCAAAAAAAAGTAAATAAATTTTATCAACACGTGATTATATATATATATATATATATATATATATATATATATATGGGGAAAGGATAAAAGATGAACGGGGTTCAAGACAACAGAAGATGGCGGTTGACGCTGCATTTAAATTTTTGAAGATTATAGTTATCATGGAAGCAAGTAAGAGGAAGGGAGTTCCACTGTCGGGAGGTGCGAGAAAAGAAACTTCTAGAGTAAAAGTGGCGGTTGCATTTAACTATTTCAAAAGAAAAAGGGTATCAATCTCGTATCACGCCTAAATTCATGTAGCCGGGGAACCAGGGGGGAAAAAAGCAGTTGCCATGGAAATATTTTTAGAAAAGACAGAGGAAAGCCACATCACGTCTGTGAGAAAGTGACTGAAATCGAGATGCCAGGTCAGGATCGATTATATTGCAGATCCTTCTCTGGATCTTGTCGCGAGCTTCGAGATGATAAGCAAGGATATCAGACCAGATATGATAATAGGCAATAAATCGGGTAAATTACTCGCTGATTAACAATGATCTAGTCATTGCGAAACAGTAGACAAAAAAACAAAAAACAATAAAAAAAACAAAAAACAAAACTAATATACACTATTTACATTATTCGGTCTATTGTCCTCATCTTTGTCACCATATTTATTACAACGTTTCGGCCGTTGTACGCTCCAGCCTTCTTCAGGTGGTTGGAACGCCGAACTGAACCCTTTATTTCGCTCACTTGGGTAGACTGTTCTAGTTCCACATGCCATGTTTAATGGATGTCAGTTATCAGTTATCTCCTGTTAATTCCCCTCTCCAAGTTCTCCACCGCATTAACCGGGTATTGAATTCACGCTCTTTGGGTCCTCTCACTTGATCTAACTAACATCTTTATCCACTGTGCCATGTGTCCTTGAGGATGAAGGTTTCAGTTCGAGCATCTTATAAAAAGTGAAATACAGTACTTTTTAATATCTTTTAGAAAACGAGGCGCAAATTACTAAAAACAAAGTAAATGTTATCATCAATATATTTGTTATTATGAAAAACAATATCACAACAAAACATATTAAATTAACTTTGTAACAAATAATGGCATTCTATAATAAATTTTGCAGTGTAAAAACACGATCAAGGAAAAAAAAATCTTGGAAAAAAACAGTCTTTGGAAAAAATAAACATAAGAAAACATTATTAAAATTAACATTTTTAGGAGATTCTTTGAAACATTTGTAAGAAGAAAAACTAGAAAAAATTGGATTAATAAATTATTTATAAGAATCAAATAAAATTATGTATCTGTCTATATTTCTGAGATGAGGTATTATGTAGACTATTTGCATTATTCGGACTATTGTCCTCATCTTTGTCGCCATATTTATTATAACGTTTCGGCC